ATTAGTCAGATAAATGGTAAGTATTTCTACTCTGATCGCTTACCAGGGCGTGTATGTGAAAATCTGGCTTCTGAAGCCTATTCTTTTTTTCACGCGTAATGTGGTTTATGTTTTACCTAAATAAATTTTTGGCCTTTACCAATCAAGTGACCTGTATGTTTTTAAATCGAACCCAAAGTGCGACCAGCGGAGAGTTTTCATGTTCAAAGTTGGACATTTGTGCACAGAGTCTATTGCTAGGGTGTTTTCAAATTTGACGTGTGCTTGAGAAATGTATAATCAAGTTGATTTAATTAAGTTTGAACTGACGGTGTTTTGTGGCTGGTTCAAGTGACCGTTTGTCTTTGTACACAGGAAATACACTTTACTCAAAGGATTTTGTGTTGTTCTGTAGAACATACCGTCTCAATGAGGCACTTATCAACAAATGCTGCCAATAGCGATGTGTAAGTATTAAGGTGGCGTTTACAAAAAGTGCAAAAGTTACCTTGCGATTTCCTCAATAACTTTGTTTCGAGGTAAAAAAATGAACTTCTGTTAACGACCGATGGTTGCTAAAGGTTTAAGCTTGTGAATGAAGTTAAATTTGATAACAAATTTTTATCAGTGTGTGATAAAAATGAAAGATATATATTTCATATGGGAGTTTTTTAAGAACTACGGCCAAAGTAGAGGAATTAGCTATACACTGTTAAAAGTTTTTCGGTGTAGGTAAAGGTGAAAATGCAAAGTGTATGTTGTTTTCGTGTATAATGCTACACGAAATCTGGTAAGATTTACACCTTCTTACTATGAGACGATTGGTAAAACGCAATTGTGTAGAATTTCTTTAAGACTTACACCGTAATTTGTAAAAGTACTCAATGTGGTGTAATTTTTTTCGTCAGTGTAAAGAATACACGGATTCTTCGTTAGATTAACACCAGATTGTGCAAATAGACTCAATATTGTGCAATTGTCTCAACTTGAGTCAGTCACCATTATTACTTCAGTTTGTTGTTCACATCTCTTGTACGAAGCCATTGTACCTACATTCAAATAAGGCAGCAATTGCAGTATACCTTAGAAGCAGTTACATATCTGTATAAGATTTCAATTTTGAATTAATTTTATTGTGCTGGTGAAAGTAATATGAAGGCAATTAAATTTAACTACAAAAACATTGTGAAGTGGTTAGTGATCCCGGAGGACCTATTTAATTAATTGAAGATTCATAAAATTTTGCTTTTTAAAAAATACTGTGCAGTTTAGTTGATGTGATGGTATTATAGGTATAGAATATACAATTTTGTTTATATATACATATAAATTATAGTTATACTTATGTATTTCGGTTGTTTTATATTGTCTATGTATATGTACTAATATATACATATTTGTTTAAATAAATTAGTTTATTTAAAAAGTTCTAGTAGCAAACGTTTTCGCTCACTTCCCTCCACCCTCCTCTATATTCAGAAAAAAGAAACACTGGAGTGCGGGTATAGTAACACGAAAATTCGTAGAAATTTCAACACCGCAAATGGTTACCTTTGACCATGATTTAACGAAAACTGTGTGTAAAGTTTACACATCTTCGTGTGAAAATACCTACACCAACACGGGGTAAAATTTTACCACTATCATTTGGTAGACTTTACCAAAATGGATATGGTACAGTCTACCATTCCTCGTGTGGTCGTATATCGACCACTTTCCGTGTTGATTTTTACACGAAACTTTTTACAGTGTAATAATTTTTGTTTCATGCAAATGTCGGAACATTATATATTTGAATGAATGTTATTTCAACCAAAACTGTATACCCAGAAGGAAGTTATTGTGGAAACAAATTTCCACTTTTTCAATGTAAACGCCACCTTAAGTAACGCGGTAACAATAACGGGGTTGTTACGTCAGCTATTAGAGCCATGTAACTAAATAATAAAAGCAAAATGAAAAAGGAATTTCATCAAATATCTTAGATTTTATACACAATGGTATTATTGGCAATATTTGTACGTGTTTTTTTTTAATTCCCATTTTCCTTGACGCATAAAACTTAAGTAGGCCTACTCTGTGTTGGAATTAACATTAAGAAATGTTGTGCGCTCTTTTCGCCTTACAAAGTGGTGTCGAACTCGCCAGACCCTCAGTTTCATTCAGATAATATTATCAACCCTGCTCATCACACCCATATGATTAAGACTCGACTCGAATTTTTGCACAAGCAAGTAAAATTCGGCTTGGCATTGCTAAAATAATGAGTTACGCCGAGGCCTACGATACTTACAGGCCGGAGCGCTCGAAAAAGTCACGTGACGTTAGGAGTCATATGAAATACATTACGGCTTATGGAAAATCCGTGCGCGGCTTCACTATTTATTTTTTTACTCCGGATCCGTTCAACATAGAGCCACGAAATTTCAATGAGAGCTTGTCAATAGTACACACAATCAAATTATGGTGTTCGTTAATTTTTAATAACAATAAAAATAATTAATTTTTAGGTTTAAAGTATTGAAGATAAAACGATGTTAGTAAATCCGCGTTTTTCTATTTTTACATCATCATATTTCTTTTTCTAGGAACTATATCATTATAATCCTTTCGGTGTCTTAAACTAGAATGATATTCGCCTCCAATTATGCGTATATGATGCCTAATCTGATATTGGTATAGTTTTATAAGGCCCTACAAAATCGCGCATTTATTATCCGCGCAGAGAAAAATTCAACATGCGAGAAATTTTTTTGTTATTGCTATAATTGTATCACATATATCGAATGAATTGTGACCAAAGGACACAAAAATGTTCTTCAGAAGGAATTTTTAAGAAATGGTCTCTTGTTTCCTTTTTTTCAGCAGCTGAAGTAAATAGCGCGATTTCAGAATAAGTGAACGCGCAAAGGAATTACTATGTTTCAAATAATTGTTAGTAATCGATTTTCAAATTGTGTTTGTGAGATTCAAGAGGAGTATTTTGCATCAAAGATTTTGTTTCGTCGTGTAATTTAGCAGAAGATGAGGCGATGTTAAATATAAGTATTGAAATATTCTAAGATTTAGAAAACGACACAACAGTTACTTCTGAAAACGAAAAAAAACGGCACTGCCTATTCCTTACAAGCTGTACTTTTTACTAAAGTAAGTCAGTTGGATAGAAAATGCTATTTTTTAAAACTTCCTTATTCAAAAGGTTATTTTTATTTATTCATAGAATGAAGATGAAAGCCTACGATACTTACCAGGCCTCTTAGGCGGACAAGACAAATTTCCCATTTCACTTTAACACGAGAAGGTATAACTAAAATACTTTATGTACTGCAAAATTCATATTAACGAAGATATAAGATATACTCCATACTTTTGACTGATAATATCTTTAATTTTATAGTTTAATGTAAATTTGAATCTCACAAACACAATTTGAAAATGGATTACTAACAATTATTTGAAACATAATAATTCCTTTGCGCGTTCACTTATTTTTGAAATCGCGCTATTTACTTCAGCTGCTGAAAAAAAAGGAAACAAGAGACCATTTCTTAAAAATTCCTTCTGTAGAACATTTTTGTGTCCTTTGGTCACAATTCATTCGATATATGTGATACAATTATAGCAATAACAAAATAATTTCTCGCATGTTGAATTTTTCTCTGCGCGGATAATAAATGCGCGATTTTGTAGGGCCTTATAAAACTATACCAATATCAGATTAGGCATCATATACGCATAATTGGAGGCGAATATCATTCTAGTTTAAGACACCGAAAGGATTATAATGATATAGTTCCTAGAAAAAGAAATATGATAATGTAAAAATAGAAAAACGCGGATTTACTAACATCGTTTTATCTTCAATACTTTAAACCTAAAAATTAATTATTTTTAGTGTTATTAAAAATTAACGAACACCATAATTTGATTGTGTGTACTATTGACAAGCTCTCGTAAACCGTATTAGGTTTAAATTTTAGCATAAAAAAGACGGAAAATTGGAAAAATAAAACCCGCATCTTTTTCAATAATCTGTGATGCCATGAAATGTCTGCTATAAAACAAATGAAATTCTATCAAAAAGTATTATATTTAGAACAGCGAATTCAACATAAAGAAAGACCAAATTACTAAAAACGGTTTCCTAATATAACAATTTACAATAAATGTTCGAATAAGTCGCCATTAACTGCAAGACAGTAACCAAGTCTATCATAAAATCCATTTCGAACTGCTGTAAATTGATAACTGAATATCTTTTTGTTTTAGAAAATTCCATGGCATCGCAGATTATTGAAAAAGATGCGGGTTTTATTTTTCCAATTTTCCGTCTTGATTATGCAAAAAATTGAAAACTAATACGGTTGACTGACGTAAAAAAATTTTTTCTACAAAAAACCTTAATACAATTTTGCTCTAAAATAATTTGGGGAGCCAATAATCGCATGTTATGAATTTTACATTGAAATCCCTATGATGCGTTACGCAAGTCACCACCCTGTATA